TCTTTCCAAACTGAAGTACAAAATCTTGTATTTGGTATTATTTTGTATGTATTTGTATTTATACTCTTTTCAAATTGAACCTTAACCCCAAACTTTACACCAAATGGACGGATGAACATCTTAAAATTTTATTAATCATTTTCTAAAAGAAGTAACAAGGATAATACAAGGGAGGACATAGTCTGCCTAGCCCAATACCCAGAATACGGAGTACTTTCCCTCAGACTCTCAACCTCCTAAAGAAGGAGCTGATGAAAGTCCCTTGAAGTTTTATAGATGGATGTGTATTGGATATATCTCGCTTCGTCAATACCTTTGTTGGCCAAGAAATCAGCACATTTATTTCCTTCTCTTAACGTGTGAGAAAACTGAATTGATGCAAAATTTGCATCTTTTGTCTCATTTGTATCCAAAAATTGAAAAAAGATTTGTACTTCCTACCCAAATTCCCTTTCATGTGAAGTGAGGACTGCATCAATTTTATTTGTACCTTACACCGCCCAAAATAAATTACCTTGGTTCCTCACCCTCATTTTCATAACAAGGTCAAGCCTGAAGTAAAAGTAAACCAAGATTTGCATTGATGTTGAAATGGATGAGCAATAAACAAAATGTCCTAATAAAGTTGAATGGGTTAAACAAGATTCAATGACCTACACATGTAGAAGGTCAAGGCCCAAGGTGGTTCCCTAAGGAGGAGCAGTCCAATGCTCAAGCCATTGAAAAGAATGAAGAGGTTGTCTAGCCAGCCAATATAGTTAAGATGAGTTAGGTAGCAAAGTTAGGGAGTTCAGAAAATTAAAGAGCAAGAGAACTAGAAAGTAAGTGTAAAGAATATGTTACCTTGGGTGGCATGCCCTTAAATACGGAACGGGATCTGCTCCTCACACAGGGGCGCCTTATAGGCACATCCACCGTGCATTGGAAACATCTCCCGTGAATAATAACTTATAAATACGGGAGATATTCCCAAACATTGATAGGATGTGCGTGTGAGGCCAATTTGAATTGATCAACCCGAAAAGTTTGTATGCTAATTTGTCTAACATAAGATTGGGTCTAACAATATGTTTCAATTATAAACAGATAGCCTCAAATTAATAACAATTGCATGCCAATTTGTATTGATAAACCTAATTGGAGGTTTGGACCAATTGGCAGTGGCTCAATGGGTAAATTCTCTTACTGATTATAGCAGACTTGGAACCAAATCTTACTATGGCAAGGTTGCGGGTTATGGGTATGAATAGGGGTGGCAATTTTTTACCCAACCCACTGAATCCACCTGACCCTCCCATTTACTTGGCGGATTGTGTGATCAACCCTTCACCCAACCCACCCATTTAAATGGGTTGGGTTGGGTTGGGGATAACCATTGGGTTAACCATTATAGACACAAGTATTAATTCCCTAGTCATTTTTTTTAATTTTCTTCATTTGAATTAAATAATTTAGAATTAATGCATTAATTTTCTATTAATTATTGACTAAATTTAGTTTTGTCTTGAATCAACACACTTCACACAACATAAATCCAAAGCAATTTGACCCGAGTCCGAACCAGTTCATAATTTGAATCAACACACTTCACACAACATAAATAATTTATGCGATCTAACCCGATCCAACATATATCGATCTAGGTCGACCCGAATCCGAAATAGACCCTGGGCGGGATGGTTCGGTACTGTTTGCCCTGCCCGGTTTGGGTTATCCAATCCAACCAGCATTCACACAGCCCAACCCGACCCTATAAAAGCCTATTAGGTTGACCCGAATCCGAAATGATTTCGGGAGGGATGATTCAGTGTCTGCGTGCTTTGCCTGATCTGGATCGGCCAACCGGCCAATATCCACACAATCAAATACAAAATCCGAACCAACCCACTTTACTTACGTTGACCCGCATCAAGTCAGTCAGTTCGGTCCCAAACCCATGCACAAACCTAATATGGCCCGATCCAAGTCAATTCACCATTGACTGAACCGGTCTGGTCTTATCCGACCAAACTGATCTAGATCTAAACGATTCAACCACCCTTGATGTGATTAGCTCAAAGATATGAAGGAAGGAGAAATCCATCATATGGATGGCCGAACCATGCAAGATGGTTGAGCAAAATTTTAAAATTTTCTTTTCATCCTTCCGGGAATTGTATTTCCAATTTTAAAAAATTGCATTTTTCAAGGATCGTTCTTGCCCCGAATCGGACCAAATTTGAAACCAAAAGAAAAGGAGAAGAATACCTGATATGGATTCCACACATGTAGATCCCAAAGTAGGTGTTTACGCCCAAAGGTGGTATCAAAACTAGCTTCCACTGAAAATGGCGCAGCTTAGGGTGAAATCAGTTCAGCAACACAATCCTTCAGCAAGAACTGCAATTCAACAACTTGGATCAAGCAAGGGAGATGAGTACGAAATAAATTTGATGTTTTCTTGCAAAATCAGATATCAGAACTTATTTTTATCAATTCAAGAATGGAGGTCAAGTTAGGGTTAGGGCGGCAAAAGCAGGAGAGAGAGAAAATTGAGAGCAGTGTATAAACCTAAAGTAGTTTGCCTTCCTCTATTTAAATACCTTAAAAAGCAGCTTTCCTAATCCAATTAAGAGATTCCTAATCTAAATCTTTTTTGGGATTTAGACTCTTTAAGTGTATAAAACTTATCCTCTTATCCTATCTGCTAATCTAAGCCCATATCTATATCTAAATTCACCCATGTCACATCACTGCTTTAAATTGTTATGTGACATCTTGATTAGTCCAATAAATCATGGGTCATAGGCCTATTAAGTCAATGGCTCACGTCCCCTTTTAATTGCTAGCTAACTTGATTCTCTTTGTATTGCGTGGAACCCTAACATTGACCTCACAAAAGCCCATTTGGATTCAGCCTATCTTCTGTGACAAATCTTGGCCGAATTCACTACTAAGCACAGTGAACTCCTAAGTCCATCAATATAGGCTCTTAATTGGCCCAACATTTACACTAAATGGTCCTTGAGTCCAGCCATCCTATGAAAGCCCAAGGACAATAGTCTTAAGTGAGATTAGCATATCAAGTATAACAACCCTAAATGATCTTATACTTAATCTCTTAACCCTTAATGATCAAACACTGTCCGACAAAAGGACCTCTCACTCAATTGCAAGGTACAGTGTTACACTCTCTGCTCAGATGGATCCCGGGAATGAAAACCTTTTGCAAACATTTTTCTTAAAACATAATATATATTTTGCAACACAAATTTTAAGCAAGTTTGAAATCAACTGCCGACAATTTTTTGTTTCCATCAGAGTGCAGTCTCTAATCATTCACTATGTCTGACAAATGAGTTGATCATGTCACTGTAATCACCCAATCGAGTGAATTCTCAGACTACCTCAACATACCCAAGTTTTGATCCCTTCTAAGATCTCACTAATTGGCATATTAAAGACAACCCAATCTGACACTCAGTGCAGTACCATAATCGAGTATAGAGGTTAAGTGTAACTTTATAATTTTGCCCACCAGTCTCGAAGGTCCAAAACATAACTGAAAAATAGTTTGAGTTCAATGTTCCAAACAAACACACACTATATGTGCTTCAGGTCACCCTAGCAGCTGAGACAAGCTACCTCAACCAACTTGGCAGCACATTAATGTTAGTCTTGACAAGATAAATTTCACCAAGTCTATCTAATGACCGAAAACATTCTAAGTTAACACAAACCTCGCAAGTGTCCAGTTTAAAGGTAATTACACAGAAACACACAAAAAATAATCAGACTTCAATTATGCACTATCTAAAAGCTCCCACTTGCACTTAAATCCAATCTGGTACAAGTCTCAGTCCTATTCTGTCCACGTATTTCTCAAACACTTTCTATGTCAATGACTTAATCAATGGATTTGTTACATTCTCCGTTGATACTACCTTCTAAATTTAGATGTCCATTTTACCAACAATCTTCCATAGATCCAATATTATCATATAACAGTGGAATGGGTAATATGCACTACGAGAAAATTGAACTTTCGCAAAAGTCAAAAATTGTTCCCAATACAAGAAAAACCACTGCTAATGTTCTACTTACAATTAAACAATTAATAAAAATTGTTGCCCATATAAATTTTTAACAACTGATTATATGTTGCTCAATAGTACCTTTGACGACAATCATATTAACTGAAGCTAATTATAAATTTGCAACAATTGAAAATTTATCTCTAAGCACCTTAGGCAACAATCAAGCAATTGTTGCCGCAAAGTTTCATATACAACAATCATGTTAATTGTCATATACAATTGGCAACAACTAGACAATTGTTTCTTATGCTTATTTATGGCATCGGTTTTTCCAAAATGTTGTTAAAGTAGCAACAATCAAACAATTGTATCTTTAACTATTGCCAATTATCATTTTACTTGTTGATATTTAATTTAATAAACTTTTGTAAATATTATAATAATTATTGCCAATCATCTAAATAAAATACACATGTAAAATGTCAACGAACCCATTGATGTTATAAAAGATAAAAATTGCATTCCAACTGTAATTTATATGCAACTATGTTAAAAATATATTACAATTTTTAAATTCATATCATATAAATAATACAATTAACAAAAAATTTCTTGATGGGCTAGCTCCTCTCTCTCTTCTATTTGAGAATGTAAAGACTTTGTCTGTCTTAAGAGTAAATGTACTGGCATCTCTCTCACATCCATTCTTACCAAAAATCTTTACATTGAATATTAGATTTCCATTATATCGAAATAGTAAAAATTCATCATCCAATATACATCTACTAAAAAAATCCTACCAAATATATGCCACTTGAAGTCTATCTTAATTTGACGAACCAACGCTAACCACTACGATCCACTAGGATTGCTCTTCCAACTGCTTTTTTTGAAATGTGCCTCGTAAAATTTGGATGAATCCGCTGCAAAAAACAAGAAAAAAAAAAGGTCGTTATTTAATTTTAGTAAAGCATGTTCACAGATTAAAAACCGAAAAGGCCAAGAAAAGAAGAAATGAACTAACAAAGATTAAAGATTGACAGTCCCAATTATTGGGTGGGGAGTCCCGATGGCTTAATCATGAAGAAGTAAGGCTTCATGTCTTGACATGAGCTATTTTCACTCATCTTCACCATCTCTGTCTTGAAGAAGTGGAGGTGCAGACTGAACGGTAATAGAAATTGGAAGAAGTAAAGCAAGAAGCAGGATGACAGGAACTGAGAATTTGTAGAGGCGGTGGTTACTGGTATAATTTCTCCGGAGTAAACGAGGGAAGGAAGCTTATTGGAACGAGTAAGAGTCCTGCCTTCCAAACAAGAATAAATTTCCTAAAATTTCGTGTACTTGAGACTTGACCGCTCGTTATCTGGACCAAAGATTTTGGTAATCTAATTTGGCGGGAAACCTTGTATTGACCTGGGCATTATTCACCATGTATTATGTTACCCATTTCACTTCTTTCAGCTCTACAAACTTCTTGTCGTTTTCATTCTAGGATGGACATTAAGGCTGTCTTTGGGGTTGATGGATTTCAGAAGTGGAAATTCACTAGCCTCCTGCAATTTCACAAGTCATCAAATTTGACACGAGCTCCAAAATCACAATGCAGAACCCAGAAATTTTGGACTTCGGAAGCATCATTGCACAAAAACATTGGCACGTTTTGTTTTCTTTCTTCTTTCCCCTTAGTGGGTGGCAACCTTCAAGCACAAAATCTAGCCCTCCAAGGCTGAACCATGTGGCAAAGAAAACTAAAAGAAAAAGAAAAAGAAAAATTTAGTACAAATAACACAGAATTTCTGGGAAAAAAAAGTATAGATACATGAATGCATGCATATACATAGAATATCTGCAGGTATCTAGGGAAACTCAGATAGACAATTGGCCTTGGACGCTTACCAACCCATCTAGGATGCTTCTGCATAATTACAGCAAATGCAGTCATCTGTTCTAAAACAATAAAATCTATCATGGAAGTATAATTGGCCACAAAAACCTGTTCAAGCCATAAAACAGAAATTCAGATCCATAAGCATATGTATTACAAATTAACAATATTAAGTAACCACTTAGAGAAACATCAACTCACACCAAGAAGCTACAAGAAGCCTAGAACAAGGCTGCTAACTAATAATACCTGCTTGGGTCGCATGCTGGGCCGTGGCCCATGACATTTGACAACCCCGGTCCATGATGCAACAAAGAAGCTGCATATTAATTCCACCAGATATCTCTGAAGAGAAAACAATTTACATTGTATGAAATGCATAACTAAACAAAATCCAAATAACATTAAGAACAACAATGATGATTAAAAAGATGAACTATTCCTTAGAATTAAAATAAAATAAACTATACCACATCTGATGCATGTTGGTCTTAGTAACATTAAAATAAACTACTCAATTTGTAATACATAATATGTATTGTACAGCATGCCCTAAATTTTTAAAAACCAAAAAGCACCATTATCCAATGTTGGTCCTGGTCATCCAGGACCTTGGGAAGAGTGAACTAGATACCAACCTAACCTTTTATGCTCTCTTGATTCATGGCTACTGCTCCATGATCTATTCACTTTGGAGGAATTAATGCTGTGTTTTGTTTGAAGGAAAAGGTAGGGAAAGGAAGGGAAAGGTAGGAAAACCTTTACAAGGTTTATAAAGATTTCCCTACCTTTCCCTTCCTTTCCTGTCAAAGTTGTTGATTTTCCAAATTAGGATACAATTGAGTTATGAACTAGGGAGATATTTAGACTAATTTATGGTGTTCTCTCCATGCAGAATAATTGACATGTCCACCATCTTTTGGTGATGATCAAGACAAGATGTTGGTTTGACTCTGTACACAACTTTCCTTTGATTTAAGTAGTGACATAAATCATTGAGAGAATTCAGAAATACTGTTGGATCTTTTTCTGTAATCCTTCTACTGATTTCATAGCCAAAGGTAACTGACACCGTGATGCAACTTAATGTGAGGAGTAAGGAATCATCTATAATTGATTAAAAAGAAACTAATTTTAATTGATTTGCCAAATTTTTTGTCAGTACTGGTTTACACTCATATAATTTGGGTAGGTCACTCCAAAAGAAAGATACAACAGACTGCTAAAGATAACAACAAACATCTCCCATCTAATAAAAAGAAGAATTCCAAAACAGATGACTGATAATGCTAATGGAAAAACTTCAATGTAGATACATATGCATGTACCTAAAGTTTGTAGTCATAATAAAAAAGAGTATTTTGGAATTCATGGTTTTATACTCAAAGTGAAACTTACAACTCAATCAAATATTTTTTTCTTCTTTCTCCACCCTCTCGATTCAAACTTGAGTTCTATTATAGGTGTTTGAATCTCACAATTTTTTACTCACAATGGGTCTCACACTTGTGAAGTTGTGATCTAGTATTATTTTCCAAATTTTCACTTCTATGAACTAAACCACAAACTATAGCATTTTAGAAACATCAATTATTATGTCATATGCAGCTGAACCCAATTCTCCCCAAATCTAAACATATTATTTTTTGGTGTTATAATCAATTAATATTTTTCTGTTACCATATAAGTACATAGCTGGTAGCATTTTTATCTTTCAAACTTTGGGCTTGACAAGTTAATAGCATTCAATTACTCACAAATACCATTCAATAGATCTCTTCAGTGATGGTTATCCAAGAACACTTAAAAAGAATTTATAAATGTCTGCTTATATTCCTGCATGGCTGGGCTTCCCCATACTATAATCAGATTTGAGTTTCACACCAAAACATCAGAAGTTCTGATATCAAAGTAAAAAGGTGAGCCCCCCCCCGCGGTAATATCTTTCTATTGTGGACTACAGTAAAAATTGAGGTTTATAAAACTAAGAGGAGCCTTTTTTTTTCTATTTCGAAATTCAGGTTTGCAGTTGAGTAGGGTCATTAGATTATTTAAGTTTTAGTTCATGAGATCTCCCCACTAGCCGTAATTTTTGGTTTGAAATTCAGGTTTGCAGTAAAGATTCCTCAAGTGTTGCGGTGGAGGAATTTGTTTGCTGGACTAAGGTGGGTGGGTTATTAGCTGGCAGCATTCAACTGTTGTGCCTGAGTGAGAGTTCAATGCAATCTCCCCACTGGCCGAATCATCCAACTGGTTGCGCCTAGTCTGCCTTTAGGATTCCTATATGATGATCCTGGGTTGGGTCACTTTTATATGTCTTTGTCGGTTTGTCCCCCAGTTCTCCTTGAAGAAAAAAGGATGTATACCCCAGGCTGAAGCAACTACTAAATCAGAAGATAAAAAATAGGAAGAGTAGCTTTTAACAGTTTTTGAAAAGACTGTTAAATGATGGGGACAGACTGTGGTACTAACCCAGACGTACTTTTTTGTCTTTTTGAACTCTGAAATCTGGGGTGTGCAAATGGAATGGTTTGAATGAGCTTTTTCTTTTATCAGATCTAGGTTTTGATCCTTGCATCTGTAAAGTATACAACTCTTAATATAGAAGTTCTCAAGTAAAGAAAGAAATTGAAAACTTATTGATAAAAAAATTAATAATTAATAATTATTATTTGAGATGTTGCACACTTTCTGTATATGGAATGGCATTCATGTTTGCTTTCATCCTAAGCTCAACTCTATGCAACATATATTGTACATATGTTTCTAAAACATATTCTAAGCCCCAATAGAGTCATGCAAAGAAATTTTAAACTGTAAAATAGAAACCTTAAGTTGGCAATCAAGAAGTAAACAAGAAAATACAAACATACAATGCCACCAAAGGAAACAAAGCAAAAAAAAGAACTTATGGTAAAAAAAAGGGAAAAAAGCTTATGCAATGTTGCACTTATTTTATGCAGTTGACCGGTGGTGAGCACGAACAATCAGCAATGGCATACACCTATCAAAACCTTTATGACGACCCAAGATGAGCCTCCCCTGCCAAAAAAAAAGAAAATAAATAAGGAAAGAAATAAACAATGGAACGAACAACAAGAGCTTGGTACGTACAACAAGAGCCCCAAAAACTTATCAGCTACGTTCAATTTGTTCTTTCTAAAGAAACCCTAACAGAAGAAGGGAAGGGGGCCGAAGAATGGCGATTCAACTGAACCATAAAAAGTGAACAAATCATAAAAAGAAAAGGAGATGTTGAAACGAAGATTTGATGCATTGACGAGAAAGAGATGATGGTTGTAAGAAAACAGGCATAATAGAGTTTGGAAGAAATTTTTATTGTTTTACTATTGACAAAAAAGAGATGCACTATCGAACATGATTCGAACGTCTCAGCTTCGATTTCAAATTGGAAATGGAAAATAACTCACCTAGAAAGGTTTTCTTCTAGAAGAGCACTCCCCCATTTGGACGGAGAAGATTTTGCGCGCATGGTGTATGTTGAGCGCCAAAGCTAAAATGGGTTTGGGCGGGTTTAGAGTTTTGGGTTTTTCTTTTCTATATTTTTTAATCTCCATATTACCCTTCTAATAACTATTATAAAGAAAAACACTGTTCATTTTCCCAAAGTCAGGATGCGGCTCCCGCTTTCCTCTGTTTTTCCGTTACTCTCGACCATAACCGCCACAACTTAGTTTTATTTTGACAAGTGAAATGTTTAAACCGACATTTAGCGAGTGTATGCATGACTCCAGATATCAACTGGTAGGATTGTTCATAATAAGACCTAAACCGATTAACCCGGTCCGATTTAACCCGAGTTGGTTGGTTTTTCTTTAGTATCGGTCGATTTTGGATTGCAAAAAAATATAAACCGATAATTCGGTTCGATTTTGGTTTTTATACAACCCATTTAGATATATATTATATATATATAATATATTTCAGATATTATATATATTTGTGGAAATATATATATTTCAGCTTTATTTCAGAAATATACATATTATATATAAAATATTAGTTTTATTCCATCAAATCATTTTTAATTTTCAGGCATCCAGCCTTTGCTTTGTTAGACTTGAATTCTTTATTGTTCACACCGAGAGAATCGTTCACAAAACTGACCCAAACCGATTTAAACCGATCAGGTCGGTTTTACTTAGTACTGGGTCGGTTTTGGTTTTATTTCTAGGTAAATCGACCAGATCGGGTCGGTTGGAAAAATGCCAATAAACCAACCCAACCCAACCCGTGAACAGCCCTTTCAACTGGGTTGTTGTTTTTTCTCCTCCCCCCTCCTTGGAAATCAGTTCCTTATTATTCTACTTTTGGTTTTGGTTGCTCTTGACTTTCTTTCTCTCCCTCCTTGTGCTCTGCCAAACAACTAATAAGGACAGAGTTTAATAGCAAGAATTTCATAAACCCAGAACTCTAATTCTTGAGATGCAGATACAGAACAGTAGAACAAAGACAAAGATTGATAAAAAAAAAAATGAGAAAAACGCGTTAACCCATCTTTGAAACGTTGGATGGAAAAGTTCTTGGGTGGGTCAAGAGTCAGACAAGACAACTAGAAGGGAAAGCATGTGGTTATTCTATTGCTCGCAAATCGCAATGGTGAATGAGGATTTAATTTTGGACACTGTAATTAAATTGGTTCTCACCTGCTCTCTTTCTCTCTTCCTTCTTTGGCAACGCACATCTATCTGGCAATAGTGACCTTAAACTGGTGTCTCTTCTGGTTGAAGACTTGAGAGCTTTCTCTCTCTCTCTTCTCCCCTCTCAAACCAGCCTCTTGAAGCTCTGAAAGTTGGAATCTATCTTGGTTCCTCAATTCAGCTTTGAACAAGGAAAAGAAAAAATTGCCGAATCTTTGTTCTTCCTTTCTTCTTTCTCACAGATCCAAGAACCACTGCGGATTGTCAGCTTTGTGCCAATCGGAGGTTCAGTTCCTGTGATTTTTCACTTTCAGTTCGAAATACAAACCCGAATGACTTTAAAAATATACAGTACCCTGGAAGATAAGCCTTTCTTTAGAAACACAGTGAAAATAGCAATTTCATTCATAAAACAAAAACCAGGAAATAAGCTGGCAGTTGTAAATTGTAAGGAGTAATGGTAATAAACAACTTTCTACGACTCTTTTATAGTTTTATTATTTTCCCTACACTAAGATGACCATAAAAAAGCATGTCGGACTTTATCTTATTACTGTGTATGGTGTTTTGGGTTTTACACAACCAAGTTGAAAGCTTAAACAGAGTTGAGTTGGAGTTATTTTTCTCCTACCATGATCGGACCAATGCGTTAATAGGAAAATTTTCGGTTGGTTTTAATAGAAATAGGTTTTAAGAGAAAAAAAGGCAAGAAAAATAAAATAGAAAAAGCTTAGTGGGGTATTTTGGTAATTTAGTGCTTTTCATAGTCTGACTTAACGGCCAAGGGGGGTCTTTGTCTAACGGTTAAAATTCATGGGGGTCTTTGTTGCAAAAAAAAGTACAAGGGGGACTTTATCACTGACCCCATAGAACAAGAAGGATCTTTGTAATTTATCCTTATTTTTATAAATGAAGTTTTTAGTGATTGTTTTAAAAATCGACACATAACCAGACATGGTTTTCAAAACCAGACCGGATTGGATGGTCAGACTGGAAAAACTGGGAACCGGTTAGGGGTCTAGTTCCGCTTTACCCTAGAATCGCCATTTTGCCAAATACCGTTGATTTGGTCAGCAAACTGCTGACGTCAAACCGTTTGAACCGTCCAATAGTTTTTAGCCATTTTTTATTTTTTAATTTTTTTTGTCAGAACGGGCCGACCATTCGATTCAACCCGGGAACCGGACCTTGAACAGTCCATTGTCCTTGGAAATATAACCATTTTGGCCATCGATTTTTGGGTCAATGGTTCAACTATCCCATCCGAATAGGTGGCCCATTCTAAATTAAAAAAAAATAATTAAAATAAAAAATATCCAAAAACCGTTGTGTAGGTCCAATAGGTCGACGGTTTGACTGCCCGAGTCAACGGTGGGTCATGCCGGGCCTGGCATAGCCCGCGGACCATCGTGTCGGACTGGGCTAGGCTAGACTGGTCCAAATTCATGCCAGACCGATTTACACCTTTAGGCATAACAAAACACCTCTATGACAAAGAAATAATGTTGCCTTCTTTAATGTGTTATAGAAGCATTTTTTTGGGACCACCTCTACCAGGAGCCTCTAAATCTATATATTTTAGTAGTGTATATATAACACATATATATGTTATTTATTTATTTATAAATATATTATTTATATTAAATTCTTACAAATTTGTTATATTATATAATTTTTTATAAAAAAACATGTATATAAATGACGAAAATAGTTGAAATATACTTGCATTTTTTGTTTTTGTTTTATTTAAATTGTTATATTTAATTTTTAATAACTTATTAATTTAAAAAAAAAAATCAGATCGGATCAGATCCCAAATATCCAATGTCTTGCCTCTAGGTGATACATTTGTTTGATCATTTGGGTCAAACATGTCAATTACATGTATACATATAAGTTTTATTTTTGTTTAGTTTATATTTATATTTATATTTATATTTTAATTGTTTATTTAGACAAAAATTCTAAATATTAGGATTTAAGTTAATTTAGTGTGTAATTTGTGACCCAAGGATCATGATTGGTTAACTAATTTGGTTAATGATGTTCTTTGATGGTTAAAAGTTAAAAACCAAAAAAAATGTTGGGATATTTCCCATATATGTTGATGTGGCATAGTCTAACGTACTCGACCCAAATGGTCAAACTGGTGACTTGTGACCTGGATGCAAAATTAGTTCAACCTCCCTTTGAGTCGGTTTTTTAAACATTGATAAAAACCAACTAAGAGGTTAACCATTCTTGCCCCAAGGTCTCATTACTAAGTTTGTTATCATAGTTGAAGTTCAAAAATAGAAATAAAAGGTTAAAATCCAAAAGCATTGAGTTTTTTCCCTTTGTGCAATTTTCTATATTTTTAAACATCTCAATCATTATATTTAAATATTTAATATAATTTTTACATGTTTTCTTCAACTTTTTATATTTTATTATCTTGTTTAATAATTTTTTGTATATTGTTATTTTAATTGTGATGTCAGAAGTTGATCCTATTTTGATTAATTAATTACTTGGTTATCAAATATTCAAATATGTTTATAACTACATTAGTTTCCAATTCACTGATTTAGTAGCAATTGGATATGCAATAAGCAAACGGTGGTAAGCTTTGTTTCCAATTCTTTGCTTTAGCAATAGTTATAGATAAAATGAGCAACAATTAAGTAATCTTTGTTGCCAATTCATTTGATTTAGCAACAACGTTGATCAATTGTTGTTAATGCTTATCTTTTGGCAACAACCATCTATAACTGTAATGAATTGCCCGTTGTCAAAGGCCAATCTTCTTGTAGTGATGGTAGGATTCTAAATTCTATGATGAACAGCTTCATCCATTAGGCAATCTCACTTACAGTAATGTGCTTGGCCTGGGTCATGGAGTGTTTTTTGCTACACAGGACCCCATCATGAAGATGTAACCAAATTAAGCTTGTAAGCAGATGGAATTCGAATCGAATTAGTCTAGATTCGAATTCGAAATCAATTATAAAAAACAATATTTGAATTCGATTCGATATTCGACGGATATCGAATGTTTCAATTCGAATTCGATTATTAAATTGAATATTTGAATTCGATCAGCATGAGGGCCTAGAATATTAAATGTTTGAGTTTGCAAAGAAAAGCAAGTGATTAGCTTGAGAAAAGGGGCAAGGGATTGACGGCGGTAATCGTAGGTTCCCGGTAGTGGGCCAAGTGTGAGTGTGTGACAGCGACAGTTGTGGGTTTCCGACAGTACAAATGCGATGGTAGTGAGCAGTGTTGGCCGATGATGCTAGATTGTTGCAACACAACAACTGGTGATGCTGGACAGTTGAGGACCTTGAGGCGTTGAATTTGAGTTTGAAAAGTGGCGAAGGAGATGGTTGTGGCCAGTGACCAATGCTTGACTGCTATCATAAATATTGTCATCGGTGCTTACAAAGATTGGGAATAAAAAGAGAGGAAGAAAAGAGGAATGTGAATAGAAAAGAGGAGGGAGAGAGAGAGAGGAAGAGAAGAGAAGGAAGAAGAATGAAATTAAAACTTAAAAAAAGAGGGAGATGAAAGGACAAGAGAGAGAGGGGAGGAGAGGCCCGAAAGGGCGAGAGGGGAGGGAAAGTGTCATCAAGAAGAGAGAGAGAGAGAAGGGAGAGGCCCGAGAGGGGAGGGGAAGGGTCATCGAATAACCACTCGAGTAGGTTAGGTGTAGGTGACATCATTGCATGTTAGCTTTTTTTATGA